TATTGTTGGACTCCAACTCCCATCAGCCCCAGTCAACATGGCCGGTGCTTAGGGACAACAACAGATGTAGTCCAATAGGTTTCCCATCCCTGCTATAACTGCTGCTGCACTAGGAAAGAGGTGATGCAATGGCAGGAACGCACCTTCACTGGCACCTTCACTGGCATGGAAAACTCTACCTGCTGTGGGTGTTTTGCTGGTAAAGGTAAAGGTAACCAGTCGTGACAGACTCTGGGGTTGCGGCGCTCATCTCACTTTACTGGCCGAGGGAGCCAGTGTACAGCTTCCAGGTCACGTGGCCAGCATGACTAAGCCATTTCTGGTGAACCAGAGCAGCACACGGAAATGCTGTTTACCTTCCTGCCAGAGCACTACCTATTTATCTACTTGCACTTTGACATGCTTTCGAACTCCTAGGTTGGCAGGAGCAGGGACCGAGCAACGGGAGCTCACCCCGTTGCAGGGATTCGAACCGCCGACCTTCTGATTGGCAAGTCCTAGGCTCTGTGGTTTAACCCACAGTGCCACCTGCGTCCCGTTTTGCTGGTTGTAGTGTCTAAATCAGGGCACTTGCAGAGTGGCCCTGGGTCCAAAACACCCTAATTTCTTTAAGATGCCCAAAGCAAGGGCTAATTGTTGTTAATTATTTATTTTTTTAAGTCAAATTAAAGAAACAAAAGGGGAAAGCATATTTTTCTGCTCTGGCCACAGGGGTGGTAAGTAACAGGAACTCTGTTATGGATTCCCCCTCCCCGCCCCCTCTATAGGATAACCCTCTTAAACTCCCATCACATACACACTTAACCTGAGAGTATAACCCACTTCTGGGGACTTACTTCTGAGTCAACAGGGATAGGGTTATGCTACACAGCAATTAAAGCTTTCGGTGAGGGTTGGCAGAGAGGAGAATTTGTGTTCCACTCTTCTTCGGAAGAGCCAGGGGCAAACGACAAGGCTATCTTTTTTTGCGCAGCATATAGTTAAAGTGTGGAATCTGTTCCCACAAGGTGTAGTGATGGCCGCCAATTTGTACAGCTCTGAACAGGGATTAAGACAGATTTCATGGAGGAGAAGGTATTGATGGCTACTTGGCACGATGCCTGGATATTACCTCAAGTCTGAGAAGGGGTAGGCCTCTGAATATCAGCTGAGGGAGGTGATAAGCAGGAGAGAGCTATTGAATTCATGCTCTGCTTGTGAGCTTCCCATAGGCATGTGATTGGCCAAAAATGGATTAGATTGGTCTTTGATCAGATCCATCAGGTATCTTCTAAAGTACTTAGAAGTTCCAGCAGTGTTTTGCCTTTAACAGTTCTCTTGTGGGTGGAAGGTAGAGAAGTTAGTGCTTAGATAAATCCTTCAACTTCATCTCTGGAGTTGCTTGCTTGCTGTGGGCTTTGTGACTGCTAAGCATGCTCTAATCCTGAAATCTATACGAGGCAATCCACACAGTTTTTGGACCGGTAGCAAACCATAAAAGCAACACGATTGCATCTCCGTTTAAAACAAAGTTCCCCACAGCCTCAACTAAAGCAGTTATTGTGTGCTCTATAAATAGGACACGTTATGGGCAGAAGGTCACAACCCCCCCTAGTTTCCTAGCACTTCCATGTCCTTTTAAAAATGCTCACTGAAGCAATTATTTAGCTTTCCTGCAGTCAGATACTCTTTCAAGCCAGCAAATGCCACGATTGAATGCGTAAGACGTTTAGATGTTCCATTTAAACAGAACACCAAGCCATGGTTTGGCATTACGTGAATAAGCAGTGAGGAGTTTCAGTTCGCATACTTATCCCACTGCACACTGATCCTGCTTTGAAACAAACCATGGTTTATCATTTCATCCATACTCTGCTAGCCCAAACAAACCTAGGATCAAATCCTGGCTTGAGATCCTGGTTTGCATGGCACGTGCTGGTTCAGACAGTCAATCCCTGTTCCCAGGGAACTCTGGGAATTGTCAATTTCAGCTCCCAGGATTGGGGGGGGGGGGAGCCATGACCGTTAAAAGTAGTATCATAGCATATGGTATGAATATGACCTAGGACTGTTGTTGTTGTTTAGTCGTTTAGTTGTTTAGTCGTGTCTGACTCTTCGTGACCCCATGGACCAGAGCATGCCAGGCACTCCTGTCTTCCACTGCCTCCCGCAGTTTGGCCAAACTCATGCTGATAGCTTCGATAACGCTGTCCAACCATCTCGTCCTCTGTCGTCCCCTTCTCCTTGTGCCCTCCATCTTTCCCAACATCAGGGTCTTTTCCAGGGAGTCTTCTCTTCTCATGAGGTGGCCAAAGTATTGGAGCCTCAGCTTCAGGATCTGTCCTTCCAGTGAGCACTCAGGGCTGATTTCCTTCAGAATGGAGAGGTTTGATCTTCTTGCAATCCATGGGACTCTCAAGAGTCTCCTCCAGCACCATAATTCAAACGCATCAACTCTTCAGCAATCAGCCTTCTTTATGGTCCAGTTCTCACTTCCATACATCACTTGACCTAGGACTAGGGAGACCCAAATTCAAATCCTTACTCAGTCAAGAAGCTTACTGGGTTACCTTGTGCCAGTTGCTATACTTCTTGGCCTAACCTATCTTACAGGGCTACTGAATATAAATACAACAATTAAACTGAAAATAAATAAAATAAACCAGCACAGCAATTAGGCTTTCTCATTTTCTCTGTGATTGCAGGCTTGTATTGGCTCTCAACCCACCCTTCCAATTGGCTGGCAACCTTATAATCCTTGTCAAATAAAGATATCCTTGCCAATTAAAAAAAAAAATCCTATAACAGACTCTTTTAAAATTCTGACTCACAGCACCCAGTCTAATTCAATTCATTGCTACTGATCCATTTTCTTTTACAGGCAGATATGTGTTTACTTTTCTGTTTCAAACCCTTTGCTGTATTTATTGTCTCCCTACTGAGAAGAATGAAAGATCATTTATTTACACTGTGAGCAGATGGCCTTGGCTGAGGCACTGGCTTGTGGGAAATGTTTCACTTCTGTATTTGCTTTTTGATAATCTTCTGTTCCATTGCACTTAAAGCCATAGTGAAAAATTGTTTTAAAAGCACAGACAGGAAAGGAATGGAATCAGCTACCTCCTTCCAAGCACTTTCTCCTCATCTTAAAAATGTAATCATTGCCCCATAAGACATTTTATCATTTTAAAAAATCCAAACATCTTCACGTAGCGCGAGAAAATCCTGCAGATTCTAAGTATAGCCCCACAACTAAGTTCTTCAGCCACAGTTCCTGGACTACAGCTCCCATGACCCTCAGACAGCTCAGGGATGATGGGGTTGTAGTACAACAGCATCTGGTAGACTCAAGGTTGAAAAACTATAGTGTAGACAGTACTGAACTATATGCAGGGAGAGCTCAATTTGATGAAGATGGCATCACCCACCTTCTTCCATGGACCAAAACCAACATTTAATCTGATTTCAGCACTGATGATGGGACAACATCTTCCACCAAGGCTACCTCAGAGGCACAGAACAAATTGCTTAGCACACAGTTGTTCTCCAACACCTCACTGTTGCCTGCCCCTCAGCTATCTGCCACCTAAAGCGCCTGCCTCATTCTGCCTACTGGTAGGGACAACCCTAACTAGATGGCCCAATGGTCTGATTTGGTACAAGGCAGCTTCCGATATTCCCATAAGGGATCTACTATTGTGCTATTTGCTGCTCCCCATTGCTCCTGCCCTTGGAGGGCTAGAATGTCATCATTGGGGCATTAGGAATGTCTTTTCATTTATGGCGGGAGTGTCCACTGGTGAAAGAGTTCTGGTCTAATGTGTATATACTGTCTCAAAGACTACCAGACAAATGATCCCACAGCGCTCACTTCTAAATATATGAGACGGTCATAGTCAAAAACTGCAAGCTAAAGAATTAGTGATGTGGCTTCTGGCAGCAGCTAGGACATCCACAGCACGAAAGTGGAAGACCTTCAGATATCTCTGTGGTATGAAAGTGAATGGAACCTGGCAGGGGCAGAAAATATAAAGGTTTCCAAAGGCTTAGAAGACCCATAACATTTTTTATACTGTGTGGTCAGATTCTATCATTTATACCGGCACAACTAACTTCCAGGACCCTGTGGCACCGTATGCAGGAAACAGGGACATCTAAATGTTTCTACCAACAGATGTCCCCTCACATCTTCTGATTTTGTTGACAAATTTAACAGAATGGATGGGTCCTTTCTTTGTCATTTCTGATATTTTTGTATTTTTGCATTTGTTTTTGTACGTTTATTTTACGTGTAATGGAATAAAATAAAAGTAATTTACTAATTACAGCAAGTAATCATGGAAACACAACAGGATGGCAGAGGGGATGGTGGATAACCCTGTCCCATGTCAATGCTGGCCATGAGAAGGGACCTTCCTAGCAGCAAGAATATTATTGGCCCAAAAATGGAAGCAAGAAGAATTACCGACGATTGAAGAATGGAGGATGAAGTTAATGGACTATGCAGAACTAGATAAACTAACAGGAAGAATTCGAAACCGGCAGGACCAGAAATTCATGGAAGACTGGAGTAAATTTGCGGACTATTTGAAAAGTATTTGTGAAGATCAGCCGACGTTTGTAGGTTTGCAAGAAGTTTTGTGAGGAGTATTATTGGAAGTATTGCAAAAATGGATAAGGGGAAGGATAATTTGTTAAGAGATTTAAAGGCAATATAAAGTTAAGAAATGTATAAGAAGTGATAAAACGGTGGTGCTGATGGAAGTCTAAAAAGATTGTATAAGTGATAAGTTTTGTGGTACATTTTATAATTTATATGTTAAAATCAATAAAAATTATTTAAAAAAAAAGAAAAAAGAGAAGGGACCTTCCTTTCATTTTCAGCCAGCATGGAAATGGAGGCTATGAGAATCTTAACAGGTTCCTTCCATTTGCAGGCCAGTAGCTTTTGTGGACTTATTTTTGCAAGGCTACACGACTGAATCACTCTTTTCTTTTCACTCTCTAAGTTGTCTTCTTACCTTTAAAACCCACGGTTTTGGCATTCTTTAAAAGTTCCATGCACTTTATTTCCTCTTTATGAAGCTCCAGCTGCAATCTGCATTCCGGGTGAATCCCATTTACCTGTTAAATTGAACAAAGGACACGACTGAAATATATTCATAACACAAAGCACACCTAATCATTTTTATTAGGTTTTTCAAGAATAAGTAAATACATTAGCATTGGAAGTTATAGGCTGAATAAAGTATGCTGATACAATTGCATACTCACTCAGCAAACAAACGTGCAGAGAACCACTGTAACAAATAAACTGACTGACTGAAGCAAAACTCAGTCTCCCTAACCAACAGACCCTTTGCTTCAAAATGTCATTAGAATGTATCATTACTCCTCAGAAGGTACGTGTAGCAAAGAAACAACAATTTACATGCAAATCACGATGCATGCCAAAATATATGAAATCTACCGAAAGAGCAGTTTACATCAAGATGTTCATTCATTCCAATGGGACTGCTCTGAGTAAGGCTAGCACTGGGCACAACCCAATGCCATTTTGGGCTGAAAACAACCACTGGTATCAAAACATATATTTTAGTTCTATAGCAGAAACTGAGGAATCCTTGACGTGCTAAGAAGGTAGTGATAACCAGCTATGAAAGCTGTGGTTTTTCATTTTAATGGGTAACTGTCTGGTGTTGCAGGTTGAAAAAGTTAGTAAAGCAACACAGTCCTTGACCACAGGGAGTCATTAACTTCTCCAGCCCAGATCCTAGGGAAATCTCTCTAGGCAAGGGGCACAGCTCCAAACAAAGATATGGAAGAACCTGCTGCTGTCCAAGGTAGCCTGAATAATCCCATTACAGGGATGACTCGCCTAGGCCCCTCAATAACTCCTCCAATCTTATCCCAAGTCCTCAATTCATCACCCAAGTCTGCATCACCCTCTAAGCCTCAGGAGCAAAGGTGTCAGTAGACCCAGTGCATAGCCTAGTTGGCTGTCAGAAGGCTCTGTCACCAGAGGTCTACTTGGAAGGGAATATCTATTTGGGAGGAACAACCTTACTTGGGAATACAAGGAAGATCCAGCTGCAAGCATTGACTCAGCAGAGGACCTTCCCTGGTTTAACAGTTTCCATTGAAGCTCATTAATGCCTTTGTTTGAGCTCTGGCCTCCACAACCAGGTGCCAGTAGTGGCCACAGGGTATCTCCCAAGGGGCTGAGGTCAAAGCATTGTGGCTAAAGACACAATGGCAGAAACAAAATTCAAACCGCTGACTTTCTGGTTCACCATTCAGTCTCTTAACTGCTGCGTTTACTACGTTGTCAGCACCTAAGGTTCCCCAAACTGGGCTTTAAATGTAGGCAGCCTGGTTGCTCCCAAGCAATGCCAATGGGAACTTTGAAAACCGCACTCTTCTGTACAAAGAAACATCCTTGATTGCTGCCTTGAACATTCCCCAGTGAACAATGCCTCTACAGTTGGCAATCACTAGTCACCACAGGGATATTTGAAAATATTGATTGAAGTGACTCACAGCTTTTCAGAGCAACTTGAACATTATTATAAATGAAGGAAATGTACATTTTTGTTATCAAAAGAGAACCTGGCTAACTATGGAGCAGGGTGGAAGAGAACCCATCTAGTGTGATAAGAACAAAGTACAGTATCACAAATTATAACGTGACGACTTTTTATTCTTCTCCCCTTTCCTCATACATCTTATTTCTTAAATGCCGTGCAGTGGGAAAACCCACTATAATGTGCAAGCATTTCTGTTACTCTTTGTATTAATTATTCTTCTGAACTGGAATGGTTCATTGGTTGCGTTAAGGCAGGGGTCAGCAAGGTGTATCTTGCCTGGGCCAGATCAGTCCCACCGAGATCCCTCTGTGGGTTGGATCACGTGCGCACCTGTGATTTTTAGTATCTGCGTCTGCGCAGACGCGATTTTTGTTTTTTTTTAAAATAATGTTTATTAAAGATTTCCAAAAAAGTTAACAACCCAACAAAGAAAACCACAAGAAAAACAACAGCAAACAAACATCAAAAAATCTCAATAGAAAAAACACCCAAGAAAAAGAAAAATACAACAACAACAAAAAAAAAATTTAGTGTAAAAAGAACACTCTTTCATTTTGATAACTTTCAATACCTTATTCTCATTTACTTCCACCCGCCTTCCCTTCTTGTATTCCAATTTAAAAATTAGTTCAGCAAGATCATTAACTATTCATCTTAAGCCTTTATCCTTCTCTTTATAATCTATTTATCTTGGCCACTTAAACCCCATCATTTCATTTTTAATGCCCTCAGCATTCATAGATTTTACAATGTTTTTGTAGATAAACTTTAAACTTCTTCCAGTCCTCTTCCACCTGCTCCTCTCCTTGATCTCGGATTCTGCCGGTCATTTCAGCCAGTTCCATATAGTCTATTACTTGCATCTGCCATTCTTCCAGAGTGGGTAGATCTTGCGTCTTCCAATGCTTTGCAATAAGTATTCTTGCTGCTGCTGTGGCATACATAAAAAAAGTTCTATCCTTCTTTGACACCAATTGGCCGACTAAGCCCAGGAGAAAGGCCTCTGGTTTCTTCAAGAAAGTATACTTAAATACTTTTTTCAGTTCATTATAGATCATTTCCCAGAACGCCTTAATCCTTGGGCACGTCCACCAAAGGTGAAAGAATGTTCCTTCAGTTTCTTTACATTTCCAACACTTGTTATCGGGCAGATGATAAATTTTTGCAAGCTTGACTGGTGTCATGTACCACCTATAAATCATTTTCATAATATTTTCTCTTAAGGCACTGCATGCCGTAAATTTCATACCGGTGGTCCACAACCGTTCCCAGTCAGCAAACATAATGTTATGACCAATGTCTTGTGCCCATTTTATCATAGCCGATTTAACCGTTTCATCCTCAGTATTCCATTTCAACAGCAAATCATACATTCTTGACAATATCTTAGCATTGGGTTCTAACAATTCTGTTTCCAACTTTGATTTTTCCACCTGGAAGCCATTTTTCCTGTCCAAATTAAAGGCCTCTCTTATTTGAAAATAGTGTAACCAATCCCGCACCTTATTTTTAAGTTTCTCATAACTCTGCAATTTCCACCTGTCCCCTTCTTGTTCTAAAATTTCCGAGTATCTCGGCCATTTAGATTCCATATTAAGCTTTTTCACGGCTTTGGCTTCCATTGGCGACAACCACCTAGGAGTCTTATTTTCTAAAAAATCTTTATATCTATTCCAGACATTAAACAAAGCTTTCCTTACAATATGGTTTTTAAAACCTTTATGAACTTTAGCCTTATCATACCACAGATATGCATGCCACCCAAAAGCATTATCATAGCCTTCCAGATCCAAAATGTCTGTGTTCTCAAGAAGTAGCCATTCCTTCAACCAGCAAAAAGCTGCTGCTTCATAATATAACTTAAAGTCCGGCAGGGCAAACCCCCCTCTGCTCTTAGTATCAGTAAGGATTTTATATTTTATTCTGGGCTTTTTGCCCTGCCAGACAAATCTAGAGATTTCTTTTTGCCACTTCTTGAAACAGTCCATCTTGTCAATGATTTGTAACGTCTGAAATAAAAACAACATTCTTGGCAATACATTCATTTTGATAACAGCAATTCTTCCCAATAATGAAAGCTTCAAGTTTGTCCAAATTTCAAGATCTTTTTTCACTTCTGACCAACACTTCTCATAATTGTCCTTAAATAAATTAACATTTTTAGCCGTCATATTTACCCCTAGGTATTTCACTTTTTTCACCAATGATAAACCTGTTTCTCCCTGGAACCTTTCCTTTTCAGTCGAGGTTAAGTTCTTCTCCAGAACCATAGTTTTTGATTTATTCAACTTAAATCCTGCCACCTGACCAAATTCTTGTATTATTTCCAAAGCTCTTTTAGTACTAGGGATTGGCTCCTGTAATGTCAAAACTAGGTCATCTGCATATGCTTTAAGTTTATAATGTTTAGCTCCGACCTGTATACCCTGGATCTGTTGGTCCTTTCTAATCATGTTCAGCAATACCTCCAGGACTGAAATAAAAAGCAGAGGGGAAATTGGGCAGCCTTGTCGTGTCCCTTTCTCTATCTTAACTTCCTCTGTAACAGCATTATTCACAATTAGTTTTGCCTTTTGTTCTGAATAAATCGCACCTATACCATTTCCAAACCTTTCTCCCACCCCCATCCCTTGCAAATTTTTCCTCATAAAACTCCAAGAGATATTGTCAAAGGCTTTCTCCGCATCAATAAATATCAAAACAGCTTTTGTATTAATGTTAACTTGCAATTTTTCAAGAATATCTATCAGGTTCCTAGTGTTGTTTGACATATATCTGCCTGGGAGAAAGCCAGTTTGATCTTTATGTATCAATCCAGTTAAAACTTTTTTCAATCTCTTAGCCAAAATATCAGCAAAAATTTTGTAATCCACGTTAAGTAGGGATATGGGGCGGTAGTTCTTAAGTTGTGTCTTTTCAGACTCATTTTTCGGTATAAGTGTGATGTAGGCTTCTTTCCACGATTCCGGCGCTCTTTTCCCCTCCATAATTTCATTGCAGACCTCCGTTAATGGTTGAGCTAAGTATTCTTTCAATACTTTGTAATATTTGGAGGTTAGCCCATCTGGCCCTGGAGATTTGCCAAGTTGCAGATTCTTTATGGCACCTTCAACCTCCTGTTCAGAAATTTTTCCATTCAGTATTAATTTATTCTCTTGAGATATTTTTTGTAATCCATTTGTTTCTAGAAATTTCTCGATCTTAATCTCATTTTGTGGCCCTTGTGCATACAATTGTTTAAAGTATCTCTGGAAGCAGTCTTTGATTTCCTTTGGGTTTTGTATGTTCCTTCCATTTACTTCAAGATTAGTCACAGTATTTAATTTTTGTCTTTTCTTCAGCTGCCAAGCTAGCAGCTTTCCACACTTATTAGCCGATTCAAAGGTTTTTTGTCTCATCTGTTTAACCTTCCATTCTATGTCCTGGTTAACCATTTTCAAATATTGTGTCTGATATAATTTAATTTCCCGCAAGATCTCCTGTGACTTAGGTTTAGATCTTAATCTCTTCTCTCCTTCTTTAATTTTCTCTAGAATC